CATACCAATAATTTAGTTTTCCATTCAAACAGAAAGAAAAAGAAAGGAAGAAGAAAGAAAGAAAGAAAGAAAGAAAGAAAGAAAGAAAGAAAGAAAGAAAGAAAAAGAGAAAGCCAGTTAAGCAAAGTAGTGCATGCAATTCCCTGGGAAGGCTGAGGCGGGAAAATCATGAGTTTAAGGCCAATCTGAGCTACAAAGAGAGATCTTGTCAAAAAAAAAGAGCAGGTTAAAAAAATTATGTTCATGTATAGTCATGTTCAGCCAGACTAGAAGCTCGGGTGGTTTTTTTTTTTTTTTTTTTTTTTTTTTTTTTTTTTTTTTTTTTTTAAAAAAAAAAAAAAAAAAAAAAGGAAAGTGAGAACCAGACACTTTACGGGTTCACCATTCTGATAGATGAGGGGATGATGTAAGTCACTTCTGCCCCTTAAGTGCACATCTCTTTCCGGACCTTTGATCCAAGGCAATTAAGCAATACAATTATGAAACCTCACTTTTGATCAATACATTCCGGCCAGAGGGACACTGTGTTGTCCTTACAGAGTATAATTAGATTGGGTTTGGAATTTGAACTGCTGCATCATGCCATTTAGCCTCCTCTCTAGACTTCTGCATCATGACAGGGTCTTGGTATATAGTCCATGCTGGGCTGAACGTTGCCACCCTCTTGCCTTAGCCTCCTGAGTGCCAGGATTAGTGGTACTCTACCACAGTCTTAAATCACCAGCTCAGCATTTAAGAAGAAACTAGAGGGGGGCTGGAGAGATGGCTCAGCAGTTAAGAGCACTGACTGCTCTTGCAGAAGACCCGGGTTTGATTCCCAGCACCCACATGGTGGCTATGAACCATCCTTAACTCCAGTTCCAGGGGAATCTGAAGCCCTCTTCTGACCTCTACAGCATTGCATGACATGGGTGCACTCACATACATTCAGACAATACACTCATATACATAAAATAAAAATAATAAAAATATTTTTTAAAAAAGAAGAAACTAGAGGGATCTAAAAATAGTAAACAGAATTAGATGTGGAATGAAGGCATTTGAACTAGTGAGTTTATTGCAATGTTAATGTTATATTAGCAGCTAGTTCAGTAGATATTGCATAACCAAGGTCTGGTACTTGGAAGTCATCAAAGCATAGCTTGACAAGTTTGAAGGACTTATGTATCTATGAAATTAGCAGCATAATCAAGACACATAATGTTTTGTAACCCCCTAAATTTTCCATGTGCCCAGTGCCATCCAGCTTCCATCCTTTACCCTCAGGGAGTTTGCTTCTATAATTATGGGAAATTTGCATTTTTTATAATTTTAAATAGAAATGTGGCTACATAGCCCAGGCTTGCTTCTAACTCAAGATCCTCCTGTTTTACCATCCAAAGTGCTGGGATTTCACTGTTTACTGTTTTTAGATCCCTCTAGTTTCTTCTGAAATGCTGAAATCCCACCATACCCAGTCACATTTCATAGTTTTGATATTATTTGATATTACTGAAGTGAAATTTGCTTCATGTCTATCACTGCTAGTTTTTCATAAATGCCATTTATCAAGTTGAGGAAGTTCATGTCTACCTATGGTTTGACTGAGTGTTTTTTTAAAAAATTTTGACTTGAGACAGGGTCTCATTATATAATCCAAGCTGGCTCCAGCTCACAGTTTTTGCCCCTGCCTCCCAAGTGCTGGGATTACAGATCTGCACACCCAGCTCAGAGTTCTGACCCTTTAATAGAATTTAATGTAATTTACTGATATATGTACTTTCAATTTTTTTTCTTTTTTTTTTAGACAGAGTCTCCTGTAACCCCAAGTGGGCCTGGAGCTCACTATGTAGACCAGGCTGGCCTCAATCTCAGAGATCACCTGTCTCTGCCTCCCTAGGGCTGGGATTAAAGTTGTGCACCACTACACAGTGTTATTTTTACATTTTTATTAAAATAGTGAATTATACTGAATGAATTTTGACTATTAAACCCATTGTATTTGCGGGATAAATCTTATTTGATCATTAGAGTGTACAATCCTCTTATGTATTTTTTAGAATAGTGTATGTGTGTGCATGTGCATGCCCTTATGTAGAGCCAGGAGAAATTTGGGTGTCATCTTCAGGAACACTCCCATCTTCTTTGAGACAAGGCCTCTGATTGGCCTGGAACTCACCAATTAGGCTAGACTAGCAGGCCAGTAAGCCCCAGGGATCCTCCTGTCTCTACCTCCCCAGCACTGGGATTACAAGACTGCACCACCATGCCAGACATTTTTACGTGGGTTTTGGGCATCAAATTCAGGTCCTTGTACTTACCAAGTAAGTGCTTTACTGGGTGAGTCATGCCCCTACCCCCAAGCCTATCAGCTATTCAATTAAAAAAAAAATTTATGTTTTGCCTGCATGTAAGTGCAGCCACGTCATGCAATGCCCAGAGAGACCAGAAGATAGCATTGGAGCCCCTGAAACTGGAGTTAGAGACAGTTGTGAGGTGCCATGTGGGTGCTGGGAACCAAACTCTGGTCCTCTATAAGTGTATCTGGTTCTCTTAACCACTAAGCCATCTTTCCAGTCCCAGTTAATTTTTAAAAGGATTCTGGTGTCTAAGTTTACTAGTGATACTGCTCTTAGTTTTCTTTTCTTGTCTTTATGTTGTTTTGCTCTCAAAGTGATACTGGTCTCATAAGATGAACCGCCAGTATTTTTTTTTTTTTTTTGTATTTTTGAGACAGGGTCTCCCTGTAGCCCCAGCTGGCCTGGAACTCACTATGTAGACCAGGCTGGCCTTGAACTCACAGAGATCCACCTGCCTCTGACTCCAGAGTGCTGGGATTAAAGCATGACATGCCTGGCTCAGTATTCTCTTTTTAAAAGAGCATTTTGTAGGATGGATATTTCTTAAATGATTAACAGATTTACCAGTAAAGCTCTCTCTGAGGCTAGAGTTTTCCTAGTGAGAAGGTTCTCAATTCAGGGCAATTAAGATTCATGCGTATGTGTGTGTGTGTCACTAGGTATTGAACCCAGGGTGTTGTTCATGATAGGCACTCTACTTCTGAGCTATACCCTAGCACCCAGACCTTCAATTTTGAAGAAAAGGTTTTTGCAGGATAGTTTCCACCACTCAAAAACCTGTTTTAATACAAGTGGTAACTGGAGTCAAAGCAGTAATTACTGGATAATAACTTCCAGACCTTTGGCTGTCAGAAGTCACTCACTCCCATCAAGCTGCTATGCATTTTCCTTTCATTCCATGACATGTGACAGAAAAGGATGAACTCCTTTCCACACCCACAGGCAGCCTGGTTCCTCTTTGCTAGTCCTTCTTTGCAAATATATTCCCTTCCTAGAATTCTTTACACTGGAGTCTCAGCATGCACAGCATGTGGTCCACTGCAGGCATTCGGACCTCTGTGAAGGTATGGAGGGCAGCAGGGTTCTGCACAGGGTTCTCCACAGGCTCAAAGCTGAGTTTCAGGAGATGAGATACAGACGGTGCCATAACGGTTTCTTGGCAGCTTAAACCCAGGTAGGCTTAAGTGGCGCTTAAACTTGAAAATTGTTTTTCTCCCCTTCTGTCCTCTCAACCCCAGACAAGGTCTTGCCCTGTAGCTCAAATTCCTGTTTCTCCTGCCTCAGTCTCCTGAAGTGCCTGGGATTACAAACAGGCACCACCATGCCCAGCTTCCTGAGTAGCTTTTAGAGGGCCAAAATATGGAGTTCACAGATCCCAGAGTCACTGTTTTAAAAATTATTTTTTATTTTATGTGTATGAGTGTATTGTCGGCATGTGTGTGAAGACAGAAGAGGGCTTCAGATTCCTTGGAACTGGAGTTATGGACAGTTATTAGCCACCATGTGAATGCTGGGAATCAAACTAGGTCCTCTGCAAGAGCTGCCAGTGCTTAACCGCTAAGCTATCTCTCCAGCCCCCAGAGCCACTCATTTTGAAGGGGGATGTCATGTGATAGAAATAGGAAATATAACTAGGCGTGGTAGCACACACCTTTAGTCCCAGCAGAGGCAGGCAGATCTACATAGCAAGTGCCAGGCCAGCTGGGGCGACAGGGAGACCCTGTTAAAAAAAAAAAAATTGTAGTGGACCTGAGCATTAGGAGACCTGTGAATTCATCTAAGCATAAAAATGAACAGATGCTAAAATTCTGCAAACTGCGTAAATCACTATGCAAGAGTGAGTTCAGAACAACTATGTCCAAAGAAATGAAAAGGGTTATACAGCCTGTCAGCTGTAAGAAAAACCCAACCTCTCCAAGGGATCAGCAGGACTGGGACTGTGAGAAGACTGGCAGCAAGGTGTGGACATGATCAAAATGCATTCTGTACATGTATGGAGATGTCAGAATGAAACCATAAGAAAAGTCTGCCTGTCTTTGGACAGAAGCATATGCCACCAGAAAGCAGGTCAGCAGCTAAGGGCTGTGGAAGGGCTTATGAAAGCCTTCTCACTTTGGCGCAGCTCCTACCCTGTCCCTTATTGTTGCTACTCTCAGCCCAGATTCTCCTGTCATTCCATAAGACCCAACTCACATCTGCTCTTGCAAATTTGGCTGACCTTCAAACTTCAAATCCTCCCCACATCTCACATCCCAATTCACAGCTTGAAAAACCCCGCAGGATTTTGATTTTGAAGTCTAAAAGGATGAATTTGGGAGATTTCAGTTACTACAGTCAGATGGGAGGGGATATATTTTAGAAGTTGAGGCCTTTACTTAGGGATCTATTAAGACTAGTTCACTGGGTAAAGGTACTCACTACCAAGCCTGATGACCTGAGTTTGATCTCAGGACCCACATGGTAGGAGAGAATAGACCCTACCAAGTGGTCCTCTAACCTCCACACCTGTGCCACACACATATACACAATAAGTAAATGTAATAGAAAAAAAAAAGGCTTTCCCCAAGTAGATGGCATTTAGTTCATAGGCCAGACCAACTTTGATATTTTGCTTTCAAGCAGTTTCCTCAACACCTAGGTTCAAATAAATTCTCTGAGACATTTTGTTGGTGTAGATTTTTAATTACAAGCTTGATTTGACACCCTCAAATACAGTTTTTAATGAGGATTAGTTATAAATAGTTGTCAGTACTTTCAAATGAGAGAAGAAATTACATTTCAGTAAAACTGGATGAATTCTGTATGCATGAGATAATAATCCTTTCATCACCAGGTGGGATTACTCCAATTCATGCAATAAATGACTATTACAGGTTTTAAAGTCACCCTACTTTTTCTAGGTGAGATTCCATGCCTACTTTTAAGTCAGATCAGTTTACTCCTGAGCTCACTTCACTGTCCTGGGAAGCAGTGAAGCGCCCTTGGTTTCTGAGATACAGCTGGACCCCTTGTTAGCAAGTGTCCTCTCATTTCTGTCATGTAATTGTGAAGGCTCCTGGGAAACTCTGGGCTTCAGAAACGTGGCCTAGGTGGCTGCCAGGCAAACACCAGTGATTACACAGGACTCTGAGAGTGACCTATGACCTAAAGAGGTTAACGGCAAGGACTGGGGAATTTTAACTTCTCTTGATATAAACTGACAGAAATAAAGATCACCAAGTTCTTGCAACTAGAAATTGTGAGAGTAAAACACATTTGTCTATGACGTGGATGCCCCTCCCAGTCAACCTCATCGAGCTTCCACAGACCAACTGAGACAGTACCGTAGACATAAGACATATTTTACATACAATGTGAGCACGAATTCTTAACATTCATAATAGAACATTAAAGTAATTTTCTAATAAAATCAGCCTTAAGCATAAGGAATCTAAATTCAGCATTTTGTATACTTCTAAATAAATAACTCTGATTTATAACCATTGAAAATATTACAGTTTATGGTGACATGATAGAGACAAGCTAAACAGTACTCTACGTGAAAAATAAAACGTCAATTTAAAAATAAGCCTGAAAACACACTGAACTGACAGAAAAATCAAAACACTAAGTATACAATAATCAAAAAGGTAGATTGGGATAACCAAACACATGCTCAGCAACACAACTTCAACTTCTCTAAAAAGCCCTTTAAATTCATACTCCAAATAAATAAGCAAAAAATACAAAGGGAGGTACTATGCCAGCCAGCAGCAACTAAAAAGAAGGTTTTTTCTTTCTTCCAAATGATCCTAACAGGAAAACAGGACACAATGATTACTTGTAAAAAAAACTATAATTCATGGTGAGTTTTTTTTTTGGTCTTTTTTGAGACAGCGTCCCTCTATATCCCCAGCTGGCCTAGAACTCACTATGTAGACCAGGCTGGCCTTGAACTCACAGAGATCCACCTGTCTCTGCTGGGATTAAAGGTGCACACCACCATACCCGGTTCTAATTCATGGTTTTGTTTTTTAAAAAAAAATGTTGCTTAGGATATAAAAAGTCAAAGCAAGGCTTCCTAAATGTTAGACCACTGTACCTTAAATAAGAAAAGGCCACTGATGACAGATGTAAACAAAAAACGAATATTTGCCTATTTAAGGTATGATTGAATTTCCGCGTAAAGACCCCATCACAGGGCCCAAACCAAGCTCATGATAGAAATACACATTTAACACACCTGAATGCATGACCTGTGAACACTGAATTATATGTGTTGGTTTAATTCCATTCGCCAAAGTATTGGTTTACTGTCCATAAACACCCACAGAGGGAATTGCACCTTACTTAGGTTCCTAGTCTCAGGTTCTCAGCACACACCAGATGCTCAGTGTCTGCTGAGTGTTGGGTCCCAGCACTCAGTGCTTCAGGCAGCTTGGGATCCACAGTGAAATTCTTGCCTGAGACTCAGGGTGCTTGATCACTGTGCCTCCAGGCCTGTGGTTAATTTCTGGCTCAAAGTCAAGTTCATTGCTTCAGATCTGTCACAGTTTCTCAATTCAGGGCCAACATTTCCATGGTTCATCCACTCCACAGGTAAGCCCTCATCAAAGATTTATGCCTGCACATCATAGTCAAGTTAAAAGAATAAAGATACTCTTTGTACTCTCTGTTGGATATTTGCTATGATAACTGCTTGAAACAGACACACACGCGCACACATACATAACCATTTCACAAATGGAAAAAAGAATTCAGAAGCAATGCAAAAAGCCTAAATTACATAGCTCCCAAGGTTAACTAAAAAATGGCATTGAAACCATAAGGTAACTCTTTTTGATTACAAAGAAACTTATTGCATGATGGTGGGAAGCAATGCCCATGAAGCAACAAATGTAAACCAGAAGTGTCCTTTGACCATCAGCTTGTTGTCAAGCTGACAGTGTTTCCAAGACTCCCTGCATGATTCTGCTCAGTGTGGTTCACTGCACTAGGAAGCAGGAGAGAGATACAATCTCCACAGCTCATTTCCTCTGTCCTCAATGCCTAGCCCAGTATTTGCCTTATTTGTGGATTATTTTAACAGAGTTCCTCTGGATTGCCATTTAAAGCTGCTGTCTCTGATATCCTTGGGTCCTTGCTGGGGAAGGGAGCTGTTTCATGATTCCTGAAATAAAAGCTGTTTGGGAAGTTTGCATCTTTCACTGTTGGCATGCCTGTCCCTCTTGTGTGCTAGGAGAGGTAGATCCAGTGTTTAAGTTCTGCCATTCCCTGCACCAGTCTAGTGTAGTAGAAATCCACATTGTCTGCAAAGTCTGTACAAACAGGAGACTCCATGTTGCCCAAAGTGCAGTACAGTGCAGTTCCTCCAACGCTAAGGAAAACCGTTGCTATGCACAGCAGGATCAGCAGGATGCAGGAGCCACCTCCAACTTCATCTGCAAACATGAGAACAGAGGGTTAAACTGTCATGTAGGTTTCACTCAGTCTAAGCTCGTCACCTTTTCTTTTTGTACACACAATTCCCTTTCACCCTCTTATCTATGTTAGAACCTAGTTTATGTATCATCTCACATGTTCTTCAATACCATGTACAGTTAGTCTTGCATATCTGTGGGTTCTGTATCTGTAGATTCCACTAATATGAACTGACTTCTTATCATTTTTCCCTTAAACAGTATCATATAACAACTATTTACACAGCCAAATACATGTGCCTGGCAGTCATAGATCCTAGAGAAAAACCTACTTTTGTTTTATCTCTCGACCTATGCAATTTATTCTAAATACGTATTACAGAAAAGGGTACCTCCCACCACTCATCTAAAAAGCTTCTTACAAGTTCCACAATCTGTGAGAAGCCCTAAGTGACACATCTACAATGCAACCTCTACAGTTAAGGCTCAGGGAACACAGTGAAACAGGGGGCAGAGAGAATATTAATCCATCTTTCCATTCTCGTGAGAGAAGCTTCCTCATGCAACAGATGGTGATTAACCCCGAAAACCACAACTGGCCAGTATGCAGAGAATTAAGAGACTGCAGAGGGCTTGTCCCTGCATAAGACTCCATCATCAAACCTCTGCTCAGGGATCATCACAGAAGAGGGAGCAGAAAGAGTGGAAGATCTGGGATGTTGGAAGGCCACACGGAAAACAGCTAACAGCAATTGTGACAGCATGAACAAGACCCATGCAAGTTCAAACTGACAAAAAAAAGAAACCCATCCTCAGCTGATAAGATATTGGCAGCTGAGGGCCACTCCAAGAGGGAGAGCTATTTTTTCGATAACAGAGTGATCAGAGTGGTATGTTGACCAAGCCCCAGTGGATGGACTCACCTGGGGGATATAAACTTGGCTTGGTAGACTTAACATATATGACAGAGTGCATGAAAACTGGTTGGGTAGCTATAGGAAGAGGGTGCATTCAACTAGGGGAGGGAGTCTAAATGTGTTTAAGACACACACACACACACACACACACACACACAAATAAATTGTGTACAGAGGAGGACATACATAGATTACTTAAAAACCAATATGGCATTTTATATAAGTGACTTGAGCATCTGCAAATTTTATTATCTTCGGGGTCCCAGACCCTGTAGTATAAGGAGAAATGGTTTCATTCATATATAATGCAAACATTTTAGATTCATTTAAGTGTTTTATAATATCAACTTTGTTTTATCTGTAATACTAAACACTGCTATGATTGTAGCGTTTGTCTAGGACAGAGGAAATGAAGTATGAGTTGCTGCTGAGCCCTTGACAAGCAACTGGTCCAAAAATAGATGCAGTATGAGTGTAAAATGTATTTTAGGACATGCTTTAGAGGACTTGCGATACCTACCAGCAGTTTTCCCACACTGATCACATGTTGCAGTATTTTTAATATCCTAAGTTAAATAAAGCACATTATTAAAATTTATTTTGTGGGGCTGGAGAGATGGCTCAGCTGTTAAGAGCACAGGCTGCTATTGCAGAGGACCTGGGTTCGAATCCCAGTACCTACATGGTGGCTAACAACTATCCGTAACTCAGTTCCAGAGGATCCGATGCCCTCTTCTGACTTCCATGGGCATTTCATGACATAGATGTACCTACATACATGCAAGCAATACAGTCATACACATTAAAAAAATTAAAATAATAAGCCGGGCATGGTGGTGCACACCTTTAGTTCCAGCACTTGGGAGACAGAGGCAGGCAGATCTTTGCGAGTTTAAAGCCAGCCTGGTCTACATAGCGAGTTCCAGGCCAGCTGGGGCTATAGGGAGAACCTGTCTCAAAAAGACAAAAATAAATAAATAAATAAATAAAATTCATTTTGAATATTTTAACTTTTTTAACATGGATGCAATAAAATTTAAAAACCCCTAGAAGCCTCACATATGTTTCTAGTATACAGCACTCATTAGAAGAACAGAGCTTTTTAGGAAGCTTTTGGCAGAAGGTGAGGTTTGTTCCTAAAGTACTTTGAAGCTGAGTCTCCCATAAGCTGACTGACTTGGTGTGAGATGAGGTGGCCTGGGAATTCCAGAACCAGCTGCAAATATGTGTAATAAGAATTGATGACTTTGGGGCTGGAGAGATGGCTCAGCAGTTAAGGGTACTGGTTGTTCTCGCAGAAGACCTGGGTTCAAATCCCAGCACCGACATGGCAGCTAACAACTGTCCGTAACTCCAGTTCCAGGGCATCCCACGGCTTCTTCTGTCCTCCGTGAGCATTGCACAACATGGGTGCACTTACCTACATGCAGGCAATACATGCATACACATAAAATAAAAATAATAAAAAATAAAAATATTAAAAAAAAAAGAATTGATGACTCTGGAGAAAAGGCTGTGCTGGGTACAAACAAGGTACAGGGGTGAGAATACAGTATTTCCAGAGCCTGTATGAGCTTCAACTGTGAAGATTCGGACAGCTCTCCTGCTATCCCTTCTGTGACACTTAGAAAGCAAAGCCCAGTGCTTATACAGTTGGTTCAATGCATACGAGAAGCACAGTGACAGGTTCCTGGCGACTTTCTACTTGCCCCGATTTACTGCTGCCTTAGGTAAACCTATTAGAAGCCACAAAAGGAAGCACTGTTTGTTACGGCATCTGCCTGAAGTCTTGGCTCAGGAGGAAAAATGCTTAACACGTGCGTGTGTGTGTGTGTGTGTGTGTGTGTGTGTGTGTGTGTGTGTTTGTGTGTGTGTGTGTGTGTGTGTGTGTGTACTTCTATTTAGTGAAGAGAGTAATCTTACAGTTGACAAATACTTTCCATAATAAAGGAAAGGTATTAGTTTTTTACTAAAAAGAAAATAAAAATAGCAAGCTCACTTAAGAAGGAAAAATAAAAGAGGAAAAGTATCAAAAGAAGGAAAAAGTGAGACAAGTCTCCAACATTGACCATGTCTAGGCTGAAGACACCACGAGGTGAATTTTGCAACTTGCTCACTTATTTCAGCAAACATGCTTCAAAATAATAAGATATGGTTTGATTTTTTTGTATTTCTCTCCTAGAGGATAAAGAAGCTAAATTCAAATGTTAGAAATCCTGCCAGGAAACCGCATTATGCATCCTTCCAGCTCCCAGACTGTGAGCTCCACCATACCAGGCTGAGCATACCTTGATCCAGGCTGTCATCTATTTCCTGGAACCGTACTCTTCGTTTAGATGGTTTCTGCTGCATCTGGGCAGGGTGTTCTCCTACTGAGTCATTCCTCTTCTTTAATATGGAGACCAATCCTTCAGCAGGAACAACCTGTCAGAGATTGTAAGAACCAGTTGTTGCCTTAATACACACCAGTGGTATTTTACATGTAACCAACCATAAAAGGCTATTTCAAGGATTTAGAATCCATCACTTTTGGGGCAAGAGAGATGGCTCAATGGTTAGGAATAGTGGCTGTTCTTGCAGAGGACCCAGGTTTGAATCCCAGCACCCACATGGCAGCTAACAACTGTCTGTAACTCCAGTTCCAGGGGATCCGACAAGCCTCATCTGTCCTCCACAGGCATTGCATGACACAGGTACATTTACATACATGCAGGCAATACACTCATACACATAAAATAAAAATAATAAATAAAAAAAATTAAAAAGAATTCATCACTTTTTTTTCCATTTGCCAACAGGCTTGTTTTGTTGTTGTTGTAGTTTATTTTTTTGAGATAGGGTCTTGCCCAGGCAGGTCTTGGACTCATGGCAATTCTCCTGCCTCAGTAGGAATGTTGAGATTACTTGCATGAGCTACAGTATTTTTTTTTACTTTTTAAAAAATTTTATGTGTATGAGTGCACTGCCTGCATGTATGTGAGTGTACCCGTGTTGTGCAATGCTGCGGAGGTCAGAAGAGGGCTTTGGATTCCCCTGGAACTGGAGTTAAGGACGGTTCGTAGCCCCCATGTGGGTGCTGGGAATCGAACCCAGGTCCTCTGCAAGAGCAGCCAGCACTCCCAATCGCTGAGCCATCTCTCCAGCCCCAAGCTACAGTATTTAAAAAAAATTCACTTATGTGTATGAGTGCTTCACCTGCATGTAAGTGCACCTGTATCATGCAATGCCCGTGGAAGCCAAAAGAGGGCGTTGGATCACCTAGAACTGTAGTTACAGATGGCTGTTAGCCACTATGTAGGTGCTGGGAACTGAACCCAGGTCCTCTGAAAGAGCAGCCAGTGCTCTTAACTGCTGAGCCATCTCTGTGGTTCCCTCACCAGTAATTTTAAAGACATAAAGACATGAAGCTTAAAATATATGTGATGGCAAACTTTAACTTCAAATGAGTTGTCTTCAGTTTCATAGAGAAAGTATACATTTACTAAATATATTAAAAATGGAGAGATGGCTCAGCAGTTAAGAACACTGACTGTTCTTGCAGAAGACCTGGGTTCAAATCCCAGCACCCACACGGCAGCTAACAACTGTCCGTAACTAGTTCCAGGGGATCCGACAGTCTCTTCTGTCCTCCACGGGCATTGCGCGACACAGGTGCACTTATGTACATGCAGGCAATACACACATACACATAAAATAAAAATAATAAATAAATAAAATAAAATATACTTCACCATCTACTTTTTGTAAATTCAAATCAGAATCCACCTGAGCCCTTAATCTGCATGTGGTACATGGCTTCTGGAGGCTTTACAAGTAGAACTGAGCAGTTGTGACAAACCAAAAAGCCTGAAGTATTTACAATTTGGTTGGTGTTTCATGGAAAAAGTTCCTGTTAAGCACCTCTTCAGCTCCCACCACCATCCATTTCTAGACAGCCTTCTGGTTTTGACTCAGGCCACCTTTCTCCTGCCTATGCCCTGCCTCTTATTTAAAAGCAAAACCAAAAGCTCTCGCTTGCTATTTAGGACCTAAGGTGCTACAAGGTTCAGGAAAAGAGAGAAGCATCTGCAGAGCCAGGAGAAACATGAGCCCTCACATCTGCAACTCCTAGGTGACTGGGAGTTGCCTACTGCCTCCAGGCTATAGGTGATGACATGGGTGGGCACTGTGGGCTCAACATTGTGGATGTCAGCGACTGTAAGCTAGGACTGCCTGCAATCTCATTTACCCAATCAATGGCATAAAGCACTTAATATGATTTCTGGTTCCAGCCAGCAATCTCTGATAATGCACTGCTATGATGAAGCATTACAGATTCCATTCCATTAGTTCTTTTTATAACTCAGAGTTTTTAAGGACAAATAACTAGATAGATAGTTTTCTATGAGACTTCTCTGAACATAGGTCTATAGAAACCATTATCAAAAAAATCAGTTAAGTCAGTAATTTATTCTTTTTTTTTTTTTTTTGTTTTTTTGAAGCAGAGTCTCCCTGTAGCCCCAGCTGACCTGGAACTCACTATGTAGACCAGGCTGGCCTTGAACTCACAGAGATCTGTCTGTCTCTGCCTCCCAAGTGCTGGGACTACAGGTGTGCACCACCATGTGCGGCTAGTAATTTTATTATTTTTATAGGAATTACATATTTCAGCTATCCTTGTTCTGAGAAAACTAAAGTACTTCAGTGACATTAAAATGTTAAGTATAATGCCAGGCATGGTGTCACATGACTTTAATTTTAGCACTCAGGAGGTAGAGGGAAGACGATCTCTGTGAGCTCAAGGCCTTGTCTACATAGTGAGTTCCAGGGCAATTGGAGTTACATGTAAGATGCTGTCTCAACTGCCCACTCCCCAAAAGTTAAGTACAGAGCTGGCAGGATGGCTCAGGGAGTAAGGGCGCTTGCTGCCAAACCTGAAGACTTGAGTTTAATTCCCAGAACCTGCATGGCGGAAAGAGAGAACCTACTCCTTCAAGTTGTCCTCTGACCTTCACAGTGGCATGAGCGAGCCCCTCTGAATTAAGAAATTTTAAAAAATTTAAAAGTACAAATGTATAAAGGAAAAAGTCTTTTAAATATTTCTTTAGAAAACATTGAAGTGCTCCTTCATAAAACAACAAAACATGACTTTACAAGTGTCCTGCTTCAACTGAGAGGTAAAGACATCCTAATAAATTTTTAAAGAGCAAGGGAAGGGACCAGTGAATGGCTTAGTGGGTAGAAGTGCTTGCCATGAAAGTCCAACGACCTGAGTTTGATACCCAGATCCCACCCTGGAAGAAATGAACTGACTTCTGAAAGTTGTGAACTGACTTCAATACTCACACTGTGGCATGCACAAGCCTGTATGCACACACATACATCATGCATATTTGTCTTATGACCTTACACATGCATACATACACTCACACATATACACACACAAGAAATGTGGTAAAAAAATTTTTAATATTAGAGAGCAAGGGATGGAAAATAGAAATCAGTTTTAATGAAAGATATATAATGACATTCTTTTTATTTCTAATAAATGTAAAACCATAGGGGGAGAATGCTTATGGATTCATTCATTATCTATTTTCTCTATAAAATAAAGGTGTACATTTAGCAATGGTAAATGTACATACCATAAGAGGATTTTTGTTTTGTTTTCATATATTCTTGGTATTTGCTAAGGTTGTTTTTAAACTCCTCAACTTAAATGATTTTTGCTTTGGCTTCTTAGTTAAGTGTCCAAACTTCATCAGGCACCAAGGGAGTCTTTTTGAGTTTTGGTGTGCAGGGAATAGACCTCAGGGCCTGCTGCATGGGGGGAAAGCATTCTACTATTAACTTACATCTCTAACTCAGGAGTTAAGGTACAATTGAAAGAATTTTTTTTTACCATATTTATTTATTGTGTGTTTGTGCACACACATATGCATTTGTGAGGTCACAGGACAACTTGTGGGAGTCAGTTCTCTCCTTCTACCATGTAGATTCCAGGGATCCAACTCAGGTCACCAGGCTTGGCAGCAGGTGCCTTTACCTGATGCTCCATCTCACTAGCCCTCCCTTAAGGTGCAGCTTTAACTTAAAAAAAAATTCTATTAAAAACAGCACTATTGCCAGGTGTGCACCAATCCCAGCACTTGGGAGGTAGAAGCAGGTTGAACTCTGAGTTTGCGGCCAGCCTGGTCTACATAATGAGTCCCAGGCCAGCTGGGGCTACAGAAAGAGACCCTGTCTCAAAAAGATCAAAAGAAAAAAAAAAAAAAAAAGAGCACTAGCTGGACATGGTGGCACAAGCCAGACATGGTGGCACATGCCTTTGATTCTAGCACTCGGGAGGCAGAGGCAGGCAGGTCTCTGTGAGGTTGAGGCCAGCCTGCTCTACAAAGTGAGTTCTAGACCAGCTGGAGCTATGGGGAGATTCTGTTTCAAAAACAAACAAAACAGAACAGTGCTAAACATATTGTGCAAGCATGAAGACCTGAGTTTAGATCCCCAGCACCCACATAAAAACCTGGGCATGTCTATGCACCTGCAACCCCAGTCATGGTAGGGGTGATGAGGGCTTGCTGGTGACCAGATTAGCTGAAAACAGACAAGTTCAGGCTCAGACAGAGACTCTGTCTCAAGGAAATAAAGTCAGCACCTGTAGAGGGATAGAGGACACCTAATGTCTTCTTTTGACCTCTGCACATGCACACATACACATATATACACACAAAACAACAGTGCTTAAGGATGAGCCCCAGAGTGGCATTACTGTTAATTGCATATCTTTGTGATATGATCTTTGCATCTGTAAATTCAAGAAACAAACAATAAATCAAATGGTATTGACATGTGACAGACTGAGAGAAGTCCCGTGGAAAGGCACAGTTAGTTTCTGGGCAGCAAAGTATCAGTCCCTACCTTAGCTCCTGCTCAGTCTCTTGGGATGTTTGGCTCTGGAAGCCGGTCTGATAAGGGATGCAAGCCTTATCAGGAGCCCCACCTTATGGCAATGAACTTGGGCAGCTTTTTGAAAGAGGACAGTGGCAAAGTGTGAGAAAGTACAGTTGTGTGAGACAGATCAACATTTTGTTTTGACCTCAACCTCCCCATGCCTTAATTCTTGACTAAACATCTAGCCCCACTCCTTTTCCCCAATTAAGACTTTTGTTTTAGGGGTCTCACCCGTGTCTGCAGTGGAGGGAGGAGAACTGTCTTCTCAGTAACTCCTCTTAGTCTTTCCCTGGCATCTTCATTAGATTTTCTTTTGTAAATGCTTTCTGGAACACTGGAGATACTAGCCCAAGGGGAAACCAAGATGCCAGGAGGTATGACACATCAAATCTGTCATTTGTGTGCTTTTTGCTTTTGCAATAGCTTAGAGCAGAATTCCTACTCACCCTAACAGAATTCCTACTCACCACAGCATGACAGTCAAACATCAGACC